AAAAGAAAGGAAGGAAGGAAGGAGGTGGGAGGGGAAAGAGAGAGAGAGAGGGAGAGAAAGAGAAAGAAAGAAGGAAAGAAAGAAAGAAAGAAAGAAAGAAAGAAAGAAAGAAAGAAAGAAAGAAAGAAAGAAAGGAAATGTAATTTTTCTGTAGGTGCAGAATTGCTGTAAGAAAGGCATACCTAGAGACTCTAATATAATTCTAGAAAAAGTGCAGTCATTTTATGACACTTAAAGCAAAAAGAAGGTGAAGGATATAAAGCTGTAGAATTTAATGCCAGCAAAGGATGGTTTGACAATTTTAAAGCGTTTGGCTGAAAAAAATATCAAGGTAACAGGAGAAGCAGCTTTTGTTGACCACGAGGCAATAGGTGAGTTTCCAGGTTCCACTGAGAAAATTATTGAGGAGAAAAGATATCTGCCTAAAGAGGTTTTTTTTGTTTTGTTTTGTTTCATTTTTGTTTTTTGAGACAGAGTCTCACTCTGTTGCCCAGGCTGGAGTGCAGTGGTGCAATCTCAGCTCACGGCAACCTCTACTGCCTGGGTTGAAGTGATTCTCCTGCCTCAGCCTCCTGAATAGCTGGGATTACAGGTACCCACCACCATATCCAGCTAATTTTTATATTTTTAGTAGAGATGGGATTTCACTATGTTGGCCAGGCTGATCTCAAACTCCTGACCTCAAGTGATCCACCCACCTTGGCTTCCCAAAGTGCTGGGATTACAGGTGTGAGCCACACCATGTCCAGTCATGAAGAGGTTTGTATTGCAGACTAAAGTGCCCTATTCTGGAAAAAAGTGTCTCAAAGGACCTTTATTAGTCAGGAAGAGAAGTGAGCAGGAGGACTTAAGGCAGGTCGGGATAGGCTAACTCTACTGTTGTGTTCAAATGCTGTCAGATTTATGATCAGGCTGACCTTACATAGAAAGCTGCTAACCCCCAAGCTTTACAAGATAAACACCAGCTGCCAGTCTTTCGTTTGCAAAACAAGAAGGCCTGGACAACGAGAACCCCTTTTCTGGATCACTTCCACTGTTGCTTTGTTCTTGAAGCTAGGAAGTACCTTGCCAGTAAGTTACTTTGATATTAGACAATGTCCATGGCCACCTAGAACCCCAAAAATTCAACACTGAAGGTGTCGAGTGGTCTCATTGCCCTCAAACACAGCGTCTCTAATTCAGCCTCTAGATCAGGGGGTCATAAGGACCTTTAAGGCTCACTACACATTGTGAAGGCCAGGTGCAGTGGCTCCGTCTGTAATCCCAGCACTTTGGGAGGCCAAGGGGGGCAGATCACCTGAGGTCAGGAGTTCAAGACCAGCCTGACCAACATGGAGAAACTCCATCTCTACTAAAAATACAAAATTAACCGAGTGTGGTGGCGGGTGCCTGTAATCCCTGCTAATTGGGAGGCTGAGGCAGGAGAATCACTTGAACCCAGGAGGCAGAGGCTGTGGTGAGCTGAGATCACGCCATTGCACTCCAGCCTGGGCAACAAGAGCAAAACTCTGTCTCAAAAAAAAAAAAAAAGTTATACCCAGTTTTTGAACAGCAAGGAAGGCCGGCCCCCAACCACCATGTGGTCCATGGGTCAACTGTACAATGGCTGCATACCACTTCATTCTCATGGATTCAACATGGCACTTGGCATGGGGCAAACTCAAGTTTTTACTTTTTGAAACTTTATGAAAGTTTTTTTCCCCAAATATTTCCTATTCATTTTCTTTGTTGGCGGCGGCGGGGGGAGCCAGGGTCTCACTCCATCTCCCAGGCTGGACTGCTGTGGCCTCAAGGTCCTGGGCTGTAATGATCCTCCTACCTCAGCCTGTCAAGTAGCTGAGACTATAGGCATGCATCCCCATGCCCAGCTAATTTTTTAATTTTTTTTGTAGAACTGGGTCTCACTATGTTGCCTACGCTGGTCTTGAACTCCTGGGCTCAAGTAATTCTCCTCTCTAGGCTTCCTACAGCGTTGGGATTACAGGCGTGAGTCATCATGTCCAGTCTTTCCCAAATATTGTCTTTTATTTGAGACAGTTTTGCTTTATCACCAAAGCTGGAGTGCAGTGGTGCCATCTTGGCTCACTGAAACCTCCGCCTCCCAGGTTCAAGCAGTTCTTCTGCCTCAGACTCCCAAGTAGCTCGGATTACAGGCACCTGCTGCCACACCTGGCTAATTTTTGCATTTTTACCTTATCTATTTATTTGAGACAGAGTTTTGCTCTTGTTGCCCAGGCTGAATAGCAATGGCACGATCTCAGCTTACAGCAACCTCCGCCTCCCAGGTTCCAGCAATTCTCCTGCCTTAGCCTCCCGAGTAGCTGGGATTACAGGTGCCTGCCACCATGCCTGGCTAATTTTTTGTATTTTTAGTAGAGACAGGATTTCACCATGTTGGCCTGGCTGGTCTTGAACACCTGACCTCAAGAGAGCAACCCACCTCAGCCTCCCAAAGTGCTGGGATTATAGGCGTGAGCTACCACGCCCAGCCTCAGCGGGTGCTTCCTTCCCTACAGTTTCCCCTCCTCAACTGGGACTACTTATGATTCTCAACCAAGGCAGTAACACTGCACTTCTATTAAAAAGATCTGAAGCAGTTTTGGCAAAATAAGAAATTTATTACATATGATTGGCAGGTGCATGCTGCTGATATATTATTGTTTGAAGAAAAGCCAAAATAAAAAATAGTATTTTAATTTTAAATATCACATAATTACAGGTCCTTGAGGATCAGTGGGCTCAGGGAATTACCTCATTTATTAGAGAAGTCAGAATGGGCAGAACCATCTCCAAATTTTTTTTTTTTTTTTGAGACAGGGTCTCGCTGTCATGCAGGCTGGAGTGCAGTGGTATGATCATGGCTCACTACAGCCTTAACCTCCTGGGCACAAATGATCCTCTCATCTCAGCCTCCCAAGTAACTCGGACTATAGGTGTGTACTACCATGCCTGGCTAATTTTTGTATTTTTTGTAGCGATGGGGATCTTACTACGTTGCCCAGGCTGGTCTTGAACTCCAGGGCTCAAGTGATCCACTTTGGCCTCCCAAAGTGCTGGGATTACAGGCATGAGCCACTGCAGCCGGCCCAAACTTTTTTTGAAATAGAGTCTCGCTCTGTTGCCCAGGCTGCGAGTGCAGTGGCACAATCTCAGCTAACTGCAGCCTCTGAGTCCTGGGCTCAAGTGATTCTCCTGCCTCAGCCTCCCGAGTAGCTGGGATTACAGGCATGCGCCACCACGCCTGGCTAATTTTTTGTATTTTTAGTAGATACGGGGTTTCACCATGTTGGCCAGGCTGGTCTTGAACTCCTGACCTCAGGCGATCCACCTGCCTCGGCCTCCCAGAGTGATGGGATTACAGGCATGAGCCACCATGCCCAGCCCAAACTTTTTTTTTTTTTTTTAAACATTGACTTTCAGCTGTATGACCTGGTCCCAGCACTGTAGCTCAGAAGCCCCGGGAGGTTGGGTTCACACCCTTAGGGCTGGGACTTTCTGAGCCCTGAGGATGAGAATCTAAGTTCTGAGATGAGTAGAGGGCTTCCCTGAAGGGACCAAGGAGGTCACTGTGGCAGAAACAATAGGAGGCAAAAGGTCAGTGGCAAGGAGGGGAGGGGATGGGACAGAGGGGCCTGAGGCTGGATCGGAGGGTTTCGGGTGGGAGGAGAAGAGAGGGGAGGGGAGAATTCTCCAGGACGTGTGTTCCCCCATGCTCAAACCTGTGGGTTTCCCCTCAGTAGGGCAGGGTCCCCCAAAGCAGCAGCTGCAGTAGGTAGATATGATGGAAGAGGCTTCTTCTGGTAGTTTCTAGAACCTCAAGATGAGGGCCTTTGATCGGACCCAGGAATTCCCAGTATGCCAGGGAGGTACAAGCGCTTAGTTGGCTAATGAGGGTCCCAGCCGATGGTCCCAGGCCCTGGAAGGCACAGTCAGGCTGTCTTGCAAGAAGGGTGGTCCTGGACTAGGGTGGACGAACTTGCACCATCACACAGGAGTTGGTCAGACGGGCTCCATAGTGGCCGGCCCAGAACTCTGTGTCCTGGCCCCAGTGTTCGAAAGACACAAAGCGGACACCCATCTTGATGTTGGAGAACACGTGGGTGACCTGTAGGCAGAGGAAGGGCCCAGCCCCATTGTGCCACAGCCCCCTCTCCAAAGCTGACGCTGGAGGTTGGCTATAAAATCTCCCAAGGGGCACATGTTCTTCTAGAATCTTATAGAATTTTCCACTCGCTCAACAAAAAGTGGAATCTGGCTGGTGCAGTGTGGCTCGTGCCTATAATCCTAGCACTTTGGGAGGCCAAGGCGGGTGGCTTGCTTGAGGCCAGGAGTTCAAGACCAGTCTGGCCAACATGTCAAAACCCTGTCTCTACCAAAAATACAAAAAAAATTAGCCAGGTGTGGTGGCGCATACCTGTAGTCCCAGCTACTCAGGAGGCTGAGGCAGGAGAATTACTTGAACCCAGGAGGCAGAGGTTGCAGTGAGCTGAGATCATGCCACTGTACTGCAGCCTGGGTGACAGAGCGAGACTCTTTCTCAAAAAAAAAAAAAGGAAGGGGGAATCTAATTCTCTTCCCCACGAATCTAGGTGGGTTTGCTTGTCACCAAGAATGTGGTGAAAATGATATGGAGTGACTTTTGCCAAGTGACTTCCAAGGCTAGGTCAGAAGCAAGGGAGCTTCTACCTGTTTCTCTAGAATCCTCTTCCCCAAGCAAACACATACGCATTCTGACCGTGTAGGAGCTGCTATGCTGTGAGGAAGCCCAAAGTAGCCCAATCAAGAGAGATCCTGTGGAGAAGCTCTGAGACTGAATGAAGGAAGAGATGCTTCCCAGCCGCCGACTGCTACACACACACCACCCACCACCCCGCCCTGCAGCTCCAGACTTCATCAGAATGTCACTGTCTGAACCTCGAGAGGCAGAAGCCAGAACCACCCAGGTGAGTCCTCCTGAAATTACTGACTTACAGAAACCACGAGAGGTAGTCAGAGGACTGTCGATTTTAAGCCACTAAGTTTTGGGGTGATTTGTTTAGCAGCAATAGGTCACCACAGGCCCCCAACATCCTTTCCCCAACCGCCATCAGAGACTCACGTGAAGGCAGACATTGTTGTTCCACCGGGGGATGGGATCAGGCACAGCAGAGAATTTATCTAGAACAGTCTGGTCGGCATCTAGAAGTTGGACAAGGAGTCGATACATACAGCCACTGTCGTGTCGGGCTCCCCACCTGCGGGAGGAGGGAGGCCTTGAAGGCTGGACTTGCCACCCCATCTCTTTGGGTGTCTGCCTACCTTCTCCTTCCTGCCTTGTCCAAATGCCCTCCCCATGTACACAAATCCTCTAAAGGGACTCCTGGGAGGTGATCTCTGGACGCTTGAATGTGTTGTGTCAGATAGGAGTATCTTTGATGGGGACCCAGTGGGTAGTGGATAGTCTACCAATGTGATTTAGGGCAGGGGCTGGCCACACTCGTATAGATGGTCTCAGGATGGAGGCTGGCCCCTACAGAAAGACCCACAATGTGACTTACAGTGGGGGCTGGCAGTCAGGGAACATCAGTGGACCTGGAGGCCAAGATTTACCACACGGGCCATCAATCAATCCATCATGCCTATGTGATGAACCCAAGAAACACTCTGGACACGGAGGCTCAAGTGAACTCTGTTGGGCAACAAAATACCATGCATCTTGCCACACATCAATGCCAACACGGTAACATGTCCTGATGCCATGGCAGGACAGCAGAAGCTCTGTGTCTGACATTTCCCCTGGATGCTGCTCTGTGCCCTTCTTTTCTTGGCTGATTTTAATCTGTATCATTTCCCTGTAATAAACCAGAAGTGTTTAGTAGCTTTCTGTGAGTTCTTCCAATGAATTATTGAATGGTGAAGGTGGTTTTGGAAGGTCCCCAAACTTGTAGTTGGTGGAGTTGTAGAGATGGGGTTTTGCCATGTCACCCAGGCTGGTCTTGAACTTCTGGACTCAGGCAATCCTTCTGCCTCTGCCTCCCAAAGTGCTGGGATTACAGGCGTGAGCTATTATACAAAGCCAGATTTTGTTTTTAATTATTACACATCAAATGACATAATATATTTGTGTTGTTCTAACATATTGTGGCAGAAGTGAGGATGGTCTTAGGGAGTCCATCCCTGAACTTTGTAGTGAGCTTGAAACTTCTCACAAATATTGATGCCTGGCTGGGCATGGTGGCTCATGCCTGTAATCCCAGCACTTTGGGAGGCTGAGGCAGGTGGATCACCTGAGGTCAGGAGTTTGAGACCAGCCTGGCCAACATGGTGAAA